AAGCAGGGAAGTTTAAGACCCGGTCTAGGCTACACAACAAGATCCTGTCCAAAAAAAATACAAAAGCAAGATGAGTAGCTAGGCATATGGGTCTCCAATCAAATTTAAGTTTCAATTTTACAATTTTTTATTATGTGAATCAGTTGAGCTTAACTTTTCAAAGTTTGTCTTCCTCATCAACAAAGTGGAAAAATAGCATCTACAATATAAGGTTGTTGGAAAGATGAAATGAGAATGTACATGAAGGATTAAAACAGTGGTGGACGTATAGTAAATGTTAGTTGCTATCATTCTGAAATTTACATTGAGGCCAGGCATGGTGACACATGCCTATAATCCCATCACTTGGAAGCCTGAGACGAGGATTGTCCTGTGTTCAAGGACTGTCCTGGTTTTGAGGCCAGTCTGAACTACATATTGAGACCTTATCTTAAACAACATTTTTTTGAAAAATTAATTTTATCAGTACAGTTTAGATACTATAATGATAACATTCATCACAGGGAATTTGTACTTGTACATGATATATCTTGATCCTTTTTTCCCCCTTTCCCTCCCTGCAACCCCACTTCTCCTTATTTACAGAAGCTTTGTTTCCATTTTTTCCTTCTAAAATTAAATTTACATTGAGGTGTGGTAGAAGATAAATTGCTATAGTGATTTTTGGGTTTATAATAGTTAAAGCTAAACACAAATTTAGGTGTTGGAAAATTACATATTAAAAATAAAATTGTTAGAGATCATTGCTGTTAACTAAAGCAGAATGAAGGAATCGGGCTTAAAATTAGCTCAATAAAATAAAAAAACCTTCCCTTTTTCAACCATTCCATCCCCTAATACAGTTATATTGCTTTGGTTTGGTGTTACGGCATAAGCTAAATAACTTCCTGTTGCCACCAAATGTTGATTATTAGCAGAATTGTTTTCAGGGAATTCTTTAAATTGGACTGTTGATAGGAAAATGTGCATGTGTGTGTGTGTGTGTGTGTGTGCGCGTGTGTGTGTCTGTTCATACTGAGGATTGATCCCAGGACCTTGCACATGCTAACCATGTGTTCTGCCACTGAGCTACAACCCCAACCCCTAGAAAAAAACTTCAGTATTACATTTGAGTAGGCTAACCTGTGTCTATTTTAAAATATCAAAGCTTTTTATTGTGACTTTATTGCAAAAGATTAATTCCATAGAATTGGCATTTATATCTGAATATAAATGTCAGATCTCAGGTCCCTGTGTTATTAATATTTGAAGCAACAAAATTGCTATTTGCATTTAGGAATTGCCTTGTATGTTCAGTAAACATTTGACAAAGGATTTCTGAGTAAAATAGGAAGTGGCACTTCCCACTTTGCAGAGATTTTTATTTGTTTTGAAGAATGAGATGGGAAAAGCTTCTCCCCTAAAATTCTTGAGAAGTAAAAAAAAGTGTAAAAATTGGTGACTTTTTTTTTTTTGGTACTGGGAAAAATTGGTAATGTTAATAATCAGTGTATTCAGAGTAGTACGAATGATCCTCATCTCTCAGATTTTACAGATTTAATTAAAAAATACAATCTAAGATGAGTCTTATTTGGCCTAATGGGCAGAAGGTAGTGATTGTTTCATGTACATTAAAGTGTGTTCCCCTTTGTGGGACTAGAAGTGTATCAGAGTCCGTGGTGTGCTGCTGCCTAACACTCGAGGCCCCGGGTTTGACCCCAGTGTGGGTGGTGTGAGTGATGTGTGTGTGTGTGTGTGTGCTCCATTTCTCGAAATAAAAGGGAAATAGGATTAAACTGGTTTCCACCTTTTAGACTATTTACCTGTTTGCATGTGTTTGTCTTCTGCAATAATAGTGAATCACCTGCTAATCCGAAATGTTAATGAATACCTCATCCTAAGAGATGCCTAGTATTTACCAAACTGGGGCACATTTTTTTCCATATTCAAAGCCAGAGGCCCTTGGTACAGCAAATGTAAAACATGCGTGTGTGCCTGAGAGTGCCCTGCCGGTGATGGGCCGAGCCCCCAGCCCAGCCCACTGGGGCTGTCAGAGCTGCGGCCACTCTCTGCCTCCTCCTCCCTGGAGTTAGAGTAGGAAGGGTGCTGCAAGGTCGAGCCTGCGTGTTGCTGACGTTGGAAGCGAGGGGCATCTTTTGCCGTGCTTGCGCATTTTATATAGTTGGAAGGTTTTCAGGCTCCTTCTGTAGGCACTGCCAGGTCTGGTGGGCCTGTGGGACAAATAAATGTTGGCCCTAGCCTCACTCCCGGCGTGACGGGCAGGAGCGTTACATCTGGTTCTCCACACAGGTGTGGGAACAGTGCTGGGAGGGGACGGTTGCCGATCTGCGTTCTGCGATCTGTGTTCTGCGTGGACGAGTGTCCAGGAGGTGTGGGGGTGTAGGGAGAGACCCTGGTGCCGTCCCTCCATAGCAGGCTTCTGGCCTCCATACTTTACTTCCTGCAGGCCAGTCTTGTCCGGTGGGACCCTGGCCTTGTGACCGGGCTTCTGCCTCTGGCCCTCCCTCACCTCACTGCCAGGTCCTGGTAGTGCTCTGTGCTGAGGGCGCTTCATTTCCTAAGAGTGGGAACTTGCTGTGAGCTTTCGTCCCCGTGCCTGGTGGCGGTCTGGGAGAGGGTTCTGTGAAATGTTTTCCCCGAGGTCACTGACCAGGGGCATAGTGAGAAGAAAAAACACCGTTTCCATTGGACCGGATTCGTGTTTTAGCTCTCAGTGTATTGGATTTATAATTTCCATTTTATGCCTATGTAACTGTCTACTGTGACCCATCAAGGAGGAAAGAATAGATTTTATTAGTTTGTTGAGTGGTGTGATTTAGGAAGGGTAATCTAGCCCAGCACTCTTCTTAGAGGTGAGGTGTCTGCTTGCTGCTGTGGAAGAGAGTAGTATAAAAAGTAGAAATAATAGGGTCCCATAAACCCAGCTCTTCACTGCGTGACAGTGGGCAGCTGCATCCACTCTGAGTGCTGTTTTTCTTTATCTTATCTCAGGGGAATCACCTTGTTTAGTTACATAGTAGGTGCTCCATTAATTACCCCACCTTCAGATGAAAACCTGAGAAATGAGGACATGAAGAGGTGCGGTTGTATAGTTTACTCTTACAACTTTCCAGTTTATGTAGTACATATAAAAGTGCACATACCCATTTGGGTTTATTCCTTAGTCTCATTTCTAATTAGGAAACAATCTTCTTGAGATTGGAAAGTAACCTGCACCTCTCATTGTGGAGCACAAAATTAGGGCCTGAGTGACTCATGCATTGATTGGAAAGGCAAAATGCCTGGGGAATCACAGTGGCTACATGTGGCCATGGCAGTCTTATTCCAAGGATGCGTGCTTGTATGTGTTTGTATTTCTGAGAAACATTTTTTTAAACCTTTTTTTTTTAATTAGGAGAGAGAAGCTCTTCAGAAACAGCTGGATGAAGCGAATCGAGAAGCACAGAAATACCGGCAGCAGCTTCTTAAGAAAGAACAGGAAGCAGAGGCCTACAGACAGAAGCTGGAAGCTATGACTCGTCTTCAGACTAACAAAGAAGCTGTCTGATTGAAACAGATGCACGGTTTGGTTTTACTCTTGGTCAAGAAAGAACGCGGCCTCGAACTGTTTGCAACACGGGTGCAGCCGTGGGAATGCAGAAGAAGAGGCTACCCAGGGATAACTGGGCTTGCTGTGAGCTGGGAACTCTTGTAACATAGAACTTTAGAAGTTGTGAAATGTATTTAAAACTGAATTCTGTAAATAGTTTGTTTTTTTTTTACAGTTCCAAATGAGTTGATAAAGATTGTTGATGAGATCCAAAACCACAATAAACCACTGTTATTGTGAATTCTTTTTGGTTTTAGTATGGAGATCAGCTTCTCAGAAACAGAAGTCTTAAGGGTGACCGTTGTTGGTTAGACCAAATGTTGTGTGATAATTATGGTGGATTGATGCTGGAATTACTCTTGTAGGAATAAACTTCTTTATGGAGAGAAGATTTCTCCCAGGAAATCTCTGTACAGCTTTAAGTTGTCTCAGATTCTCTGAAAACTTTTTAGAAAGCAAAACTTTTATATTTGTTCAATTTCAACTATACCCAAGTAGATTTACATGTATATGAAGCAAATATTTTTTAAACCTTCTGTTTGTACATATTCTGCATGTTTTATAATTTCAAAATGCATCACTTGCATAGGTATTTTTCCCACAAAGACGATGAAAGTTAGTGGGAAAAAAACCCCTTTTATTCTGTAGGTCACTGAAACTAAGTAAGCTGGCAGCTGGTTTTATTGGAACGACAGTGTTCTTGGAAGGAGCAGCTTACAAGAGAACTTGAATTTACAAAGTCTGCGAAATCTATGCTTTTTTGAAAATTTCATTGTGGGGACGTGAAACTGTATTCTGTGCCTTCCATCATGATTTCCACATGAAAGCACTTTAAGGCACCGGATTTTAAGATGACGTTTTTGGAAAACTCAGTGCATATGGGTTTCTGCAATATTTCATGGACTTAGCCTCCCCCTTCCCTGGGAAATTATTCTTATGGAAGAAATTGCTTTTGTATGTAGAACAAGAACTTTTGTACTACAGTGATGCTATAGATATGGCTAATGGACCTCTTCCTTCTCCCCTTGAAAGCTCCGCATCTTTCTGTGACTTGCTCTCACTACAATATTGTTAAAGTCCTCAATTTATTAATCTGGAAGACTGTTCATTCTTTTTTTTTGTAAAACATCAAGCCCTTTTTTCTTGCTTTACTTTTTAATGTTTTATTGCTTTATGAAAATGTTTAACCTGAAAACCCCTCTAGATTACCTATACTGTATAAAGAAGCAGTTACCCTTAAAACTGTACTCTGGCCTACTTTTCTATTTTACAATTAAATATCTTTTCCACATATGTTCAGTGTAGATCTATGTTTTGGCTACCTTTCTTCACATGAAAATTTGGGGCCTGGGGTGTAGCTCAGTGGTAGAGCATATTTTGAGTGTTTTCAATGACCTGAGAGAGGAAGGAGACGAGATTCAGCTGTGTGTGAGTCCTGTGAAAATACACTTTTCACACTCCAAAGTTTCTGCAGTTTTGTTCTATCACTGGTGTTAATCTTTATTGGTGTCAGTGTAGTAAGGCTATCTATGGACTGTCAGCCTAATTTTAGTTGGTATTTGGAAGTCTTAAAAAAGGTTCTAGGGGGCCAGGGGTTTAGCTCAGTGGTTCGGGCGCCTGCCTCCCAAGCACAAGGTCCTGAGTTCAATCCCTGGCACCAAAAAAAAAAAAAAAAGATTCTAGGGCAAATTTAAGAGCTCTATAGGGAAAAGTAAAAAATCTATCAGTTTTCCACCAAATTTGATACGATTGATTGATGATTGATGACTGACTGACTTGACTCCTTATGTTGCCCAGGCTGCTCTTGAGCTCGGGCTCAAGCAGTCCTCCGGCCTCAGCCTCTTGAGTACTGGAACTACATACAGGCTTGTACCATTGTGTCAGGCTTTGAAACATTTTAAGTGACCTAAGATCAGGTTTTTCAAATGGCAGGTCATATTTTCAGTAGCATCAGGGCACTTGTTTTGCACCCAAAGAAGTCACTGGAGACCGCTGGGTCCCTTAGTATGCGTTAGGGCAGACCACCCGAGGAGCCCAGCATAGGCAGAGTTGGTGTAGAAGTGGCCCGTGTGCTCACCCCAGGGTGCGTGCCCCTTCTAAGAATTGGCTCCCAGACCAGGCTGGCCCAGAGACGTCCTGAGACAGTGTTGGAAATCAGCCTCGGAAGGTCAGCTGTGCCTTCACCTCCTGAGCTTGGGTTTGCCTGGATGTCACCGGGGTGGGACAGTGTTCTGACCTCTGCTGACAGCAGCCACCATGATGGGAAGTGTGGTCAGTCTAGGGGTGTGAGGGATAGTAATGCACCCATGTGGGCCGTGGCTTTACTCAGTCATTGTGATCCTGGGCTGGGATTCCTCAGTTGCTGGTGCCCTGTGAAAGCAATCCCTTTGCAAGACTAAAAGGTTTTCTGTTTGATAGACTCTGTCACAGTTGACTGGAAGAGCTTTGCATTCTAGCCGTTCTCAGTGCTCTGTACAGAGAATTAGAAGAACTGGCAAGGAAATAATATGAGAAGGAAGTGTTCTGAAATCCACGCCTGTGTGTACGCTACATGGGGCTGGGTGTGTGGCTGGCATCATCCGGTTGCTGTAGAAGTCGATTGTTCCCCTTTGTGCATGAACACGCTTTCTCAGCCGGAAGTACCGGGCATGTGTATCGGGAAGGGCTGTCACTGTGCTGTGTAGACCGGGAGCTCAAGGGGGGTGGGGGTCGCCTGAGCACCCGACCCCGAGTTAGCACTTATGTGTGTAGTGCTGCACCTCCAGGGTTCCAGGCTCTGGGTCACATTTGATGCTTGCAGAAAGCCGCCTTTGAGAGTACCATCTGCAGGGACAACATCGCCACTGATCTTCGTTGTCATTAGTATTCTACTTTGTGCTCCAGGACTTGTGATGTCCTTCGTCTTCACTGGGTTTTAGGAATTATTTCTTACATCCATCTTTCACCCTTCGGATATGAACAGTCGCCCTCTCACCCAGCTGCTCTCTTGCTCTGTTTATGGAGCTGGGGAGTTGGGGGTTGGGGAGCTTCCATTCTTTTTGACATTCGGAGCAGAATTGAGAGAAGGAAATAAAGGGGAAGCAGAGAGTCATGGAGACTAGTTTATAATAAAGTCTGGGAAGAGATGTTTCTTGGGGCTGAGGATGTTGCTCAGTGGTAGAGCTCTTAAGACCCTGGGTTCACCCCAGTGCCACAGAATAACATTTTAAAACAAAGTCTCCAAAACATTGCTAGTGGAAATCTATGCCACTATATATATCTTCAACGTGATCATGTAGGACGATAATTGTTGGAAATCAGAAGAAATCCTTACCCACAACAGAAATTGGTGCATTGCTAGAAACAGTTACAGGAGCTTTATCTGATGAGCCTTTTCTCTGTATTACTCTAAACAGTTTTTCTTGATAAACTGGAGTTACTCTGCTTTAATACTTGGAAGACTTTGAAAGCTGACGCAGTAGAAATACAGGGAGGAGGAGTGATATTTTCAGCTAAAAATGGCAGAGCCATAGTAGGAAGCTTCCTGTCCATATGGACGGGTTCCCAAGCTTTGGTTCTGGGCCTGGGTATACAGAAAAGTTGTCTGCTCACCTGGCCTCTGAATAAATACCTGCTGCGGCGGCCAGCCGGGCCAACTGAGGAATGGCTGGGCTGGTAGGTTTGGTGTTTTGCTAACTGGTATTTACTGTCCTCGGGCTCATTATAGATAACTCCTCATCTCAGCCGGTTTCTGGGGATGCTTGCTGTTTGCTTTCCCTGTCAGGAGAGAACCTCCGGGGCACCTGGGCTTCCGTGTGATGCAAACCTTCCGAATTCGCTTGCACGTTGCTCTTTGTAAACCAGATAGAAAATGTGTCACCGCTGGAAATGCGCTTTGGTTTCCAAATTTTAAACAATTTTTTTTTGGTATCGGGGATCGAACTCGGGACCTTGTGCTTGCAAGGCAGGTGCCAGAACCACTGAGCTAAATCCCCAGCCCTTAAGTAATATTTTTGAGACAGGGTCTCACTATGTAGTTCAGGCTGGTCTTGAACTCACTGTGTAGCTCAGGCTGGCCTCACACCCGCAGCAATCCTCCTGCCTCAGCTTTCTGAGTACCACACCCTGCTTCAAATAAAAATTTTGATACCAATATTTTTGTGATCTCTTTAAACTCCTTCCTGAAATATATAAATATGCAGTTTTGTATCTTCTGATCATTTTGATTTCTTGAATTTCTTTTAAAATACCTCACTTTAATGATAATCAATTGAATTTTAGATAGAATTCTTTGAGGTTCTTTAAGAGAAATATTATAACTACTCCCCCCACCCCAAAAACTACCATTTGCTTCCTGGGGAAAAAATTTTTTTTTTCTTTTTTAGACAGGGTCTCCTGAGTGCTGGGATTACAGGTGTGCAGCACCACACCTGGCACCTGTGGAAAAAAATTTTAAGTCAGTTTCTGAGAATGTTTGCATGCTTTGTTAACTGCTTACTCAGTTTTTCATTTGAATTGTTTTAATCCCACATGCACAGTTGATATATACAGTATTTTCTACATATATATTGTATATATGAAAGGTTAATACTTTTTGAAATAGATTTTTTAAATTGAGAGGCATAAAGTGTAATTTGGAATCACAGATTCTGACCCTAATTTCACCAAATTCTTATGTTGAGAAGCTTCTTTGTATAAAATTCAAAACATGTTTTTCACATTGCCAAATGCTAAGCCTTCTGATAATTAACATTACTCAGTTTAGTGGTCAGCCACAGCAGAAAAAGAATGCATTTTGTTTTGTATAATCCAACATCTGGTTGTGACTAGGATACTAAGCCTACCAGATACGGTTTTTGCCAGATGTGACTTATGGTTACATATTATATTTAGTTCAGCCAAATGTATTTGAGAAGAAGTTTAAAGATATTTTCAGGAATAAACAAACCTCAAGCAGTTTATACAGTTTTTTCATTGCAGTGGTAAAACATTCATAATAAAAAAGTTAACACTGAGAAGGCTCTGAACACCTGCTTTTTGCATATAAATTATTTTGTTTAACGTTCACAGCAACTCTGTGAGAACAGACTCTTCTCCTCCCGTGATAGGTGAGAAAAATGAGGAAACAAAATTTGTGGAAATTTGCAGAGCTAACCTGTGTGATCCAAGTTGAGACCAACATGCTACATGCACATCATTAATTTTGCTGTAGTTTCTAGTATAGCTTTTGACCCTGCCC